TTGTGTCTCCTTGCACCTCATCACCTGCAGCAGCTGCTAGTGGTAGTGTTGGTGGTGGCGCTGGTGCTGCTAATGCTGGTGCTAGTGCTGGTGCTGTTGATGCTGGGAGGAAGGCGGAGAGTGAGGGTGCGTTCACGTACAGTATGGTTGATGATGGTCTGGTTACCAGCAGCAGCATCCGAAGCAGCGCAACCACTGCCAGCACCTGCACGACCAGGAGGAGGACAAGTGTATGTCTGGGGGGGGATTGCGCTGATGGTGCCGGTGGAGTTTTGAGGGATGGTAGCAGCGTGATGGGTCCAGAGAAGGATGAGGAAGGAAGCAGGGTGCGCATCAGCAACGGTGGTAGCGACATTCGGATGTAACATCCACCCTATCCTTGTGAGTTCCATTCATGCGAAGGGTTTTCTAAGACTTGCCGTTCCTACTTTGCTTTTTCTCATGTCTCTTTTGTGTATATTGTGCAGGAACATGAATCTGACAGACGTTATATTGGATTTTACATCGTCCGTCAGTAGTTTTGTCTGGCTTGCTGAGCACCTTCTTAGCTTACCCATTTGCACTAATACGGTATCGGTATAGTTTCATATGTACTGGATAGCTGGCTTGCTATGTAGTTTATATTTCCTAGTCGCTACTCCGCGTACATCTCCACGTTGCAAATCTCATTATTAGCAAAAGCGACGACGTGTCTGAACGTTGACGGGAACTGGAACCCAGTCGACACAACCAGTGCATCAAATGCCCTATCCGTCAAATGTCCGTCAGAAGTGCTTCAGGAATTTTTTGTTCAAGTAACATTCCTCAGGGCGTGTTGCAGGAGTACTGTTCAAAACCATTCCCAACCGTTTCAAAAGTACAACAACCGTTCGTACTGCAGAATAGATCATCACATAGCATCATAAGGACGCGGCACCTCTAGGGAGGGAGCCACGATCGATCATGAGTGGGGATCGATCCTGGCTTGTACAGTAAAATCGCAACATCGCCAACAGGGTGGTATCCAGTTTCGCCCGTGCCTCGCACGAGTACAGTAAATTGCTGCCTAAAGTGGTGGCACCTCTGGCTCGCACGACCGAGCGTGTGATAGTGGAGATCGGGCAATTTTGCCCCATATAATTTCAATCCTGTCACCTGTGGCTCGGTGTGTCCCGGCGATTGCAAATCTGCAGTGTAGACACATCGGTGTGCCGATCGATGTGCCTAAACCGGTGTGAGGGCCCGATCTCCCCACGATCCTGGTAATTTTCCTAGAGGTGCCGCGTCCTAATTATGGTCGCTAAGCTCACGAGCCTAGCATTCCCCGTAGACATAGCGGTCTGGTGCGACGCGAGGAACCGAATACACGCGCCAGGAAGCAAAAGCGAAGTGCCTCGTCTGTCCAGAATCCTTCGGCAAACCTCGTCCGTGCCTCGTCGAAGCATGCAGCCTCCCAGGCTCCCTCGAGATACCTTTATGCGACGCGGGTTTTTTTCACCACCTTTCATGACTGAAACACCACAGCGGAATCTTGAGCCCGTGTGTGATAGCGCTACCCCTGGCTTGAATGGCTTCCGTTTACAGAAGCCTAGGAGACTGTTTTGCGCTCACTGCCGTGCTCGAGTGCGGAAGCCTGTTCTCATTTAGTGGCCACTTGGTACCTCCTCGAGCATAAGTTGGATATTATTCGCTGTTTCGAGGGAAGCTTTCTTACGTGGATGACAGTGAGATTCTCGCAACTCTCCGCGAGTTTCTTCCAAGCGGAAATTAAAAGAGCTCTTTTAAGTGAGGAGGTTCTTTGTGAATAGAGCAGTGCCGTAGCGTCACGACGCCGCAGCATGTCGGACATTCCGCAAAAGTCGTATCTTCGCAGCGTCATGTCAAACGCTCCTCCGGGTTCTTGCAGCGAGCTTGCCGTAGAGCTCGCGCTCGAGCGGATCTCGACGGTTCGCGATCTCGTCCGGTGCTCAACGGTCAGCAAAGCCTGGGCTGACGCCGTTGCGCGAAGCGTGCTGCACGCGAGGGTTGACTGCACGAGCGGAGGCATATTCGGGCCTGCCTTCGTTTCCGACGGAAGTGACGGTGACGAGGAGTCCAATAACGAGTACAGAAGCGATGGGCTGACGTACAAGACGTTTCTTCAGGCCATTCGAGTTTTCCGGCAGCTGACGTCACTCACGATTACCAGCTTCCACCAGCCGTTTGGCGACGCGTTTCTTGAAACCCTAGCCTCTTCCTGCCCTGTTCTCCAAGTCCTGGACCTCTCCTGCATGTGCTACGGCGAAGGTGACGACGAGGTTACCAGCTGGGGGTTGAATTCGCTGTTCGTGGGATGTCCCCAGCTGAATCGGCTGTCGCTGCTACTCGGTCATGATGGTAACGCCCGCCACTTCAGCACGATGCAGAAGGTCTCTAAAAGACTGACGGCTGCTTGTAGTGCGTCACCGTGGAGCCACCGACATGGCCATGCTGACGTGGCATGGAGCGAGTCTGCGCTCTTCATCCCTTCCTCGATCATGCAGCTGTCTTCTTTGGAGGCTCTGGAGATTCAAACGGACAGATGCATGGGCTTGGGACTGGATCATAATTACCATGATCAATCCAGAGGAAGACTTTGGCAGTGTGATTCAACCACAGCCATGATCATTGAGCATCTCAGCATCAGTTGTCCTGCAAATGCATCGCCACACTGTCGGCCTTTCCTGCCTCCCTCGATCACTCAGCTGCAGCTGTCATCATCGCATCACATCATCCTTCCGAACAGCTCCTGTGGTCAGCTCAGTTATGGTTCCAGTTCCAATCATCAGCGCAATTCTCACTGCAATTATCACTCCAACTTTCCAGACCAGGCTCAGGTTGCCGCTCTTGGTTCAGTCTCCCCCACTAATCCCCAACCCACTGCAACCATCTGGTGGCCTGGACTCAAATCCGTGAAGCTCGGCGTTTGCTGCGACGTCATGTTTTCCAAGCTATCATCGCTCTTCCATCAGGAGCTGACGTCACTGAGGCTCTCAGCCAATCGTGCGACCAGATGTGACATTTGGAGCCACAGGGTTGGTTCCACTATCCCCAGCGTTGCGTCAGCTGAGGGATTTGATGAATCTGGTGCTGTTGAGGCTGCAAACTGCAAGTTTGGTTCGGTGGAACGGCCTTGCAGCAGTTGGGTGCTTCCAACCGTATTAAGCCTTTCAAAATTCTGCATTTCCCAGACAGAGACAGGCACAGAAGAACCACTTGTTTCTATGCACCCTGCTCCCGCTTTCTTCTTTCCTGCAACCCTCTCTTCCTCCTATTCGCGCCTCCATTCACTGCACCTGGACCAATGCCCTGACGCTGCCCTCCCTCCATCCCTCCTCCCCTCTCTCACACACCTTACTGCCCTCTCCTTCTCCTACTGTCGTCATCTGAAGGCCCTGCCGCCGACCATCAGTCTCCTCTCCTCCCTCACATCCCTTCACATGCATGCCTGTCATGCTGTGGAATCCCTCCCCCTTGAAGCCCTCTGTCTGCCTGGACTCAGGTCCCTGCGACTCACCAACTGCAGGAGACTGGAAAGTGTGGGCAAAGCCGCTGTGAATGCTGGTAATGTAGAAATATCCGGTGGTGGAAGTGGTGGTGATGCCTGCAGCGGTCCCATTGCGATACAGGAGGTGGTTTTGCGAGAGTGTGCTGGGTTGCGTTACGTCAACTGGGAGGCTTTATTAGGGAAGACACTGCAGGTTTCACCAACTGTGGCAATTGAGGTGAATGTTGAAGGGTGCTGCGAGTTGATGGGCATGGATAATGTCACACGTATGATGGGGCGCTCTAGTGGTAGCACCACTCTTCCAGATGGAGCCAAGTGGTATTCTCAGAAGAGATCAATGTGTAGAAATCAATCTCCCTCTGAGATGCCGGGTGGTATGGATAGATGCGTAGTGATTCAAATATAGCAAATGCTGTATAAGAATAAAAGGCGAATTTCAACTGCATAGAATTCAGAAGTTGTCACATCTTATATTGTACAATCTCTGTATTGTACATCTTTTTTAGCTTTTGCTGGTCGATTCCTTCTCTAAAAAGAACCACCGGAGGAATGCTAGCGAAGCAATTTAAGCGAGTGCATGTACACCACGTGGCATGTACAGCAGCCATCCAGCTCTGTTTACTACCTTCGTGACACGAAAACGAGAATCTGCCATGCCTGCTTGGTCCTTGAATGATACGTCACGGTCTTTCACGGTCTTCGGCGGTTTACGATGGTTCGATTTAGGGCCGTGCTACAAGCTGAATGGTTCGATGGTTCGATGTATGGTTCGATTTATCCACACACGCACATCCCGTGCTGGATTAGGGCGCGTATCTTTTGCTGTAAAGGTTCGAAAAATTGGTTAAACTTTTGCTGGTAACCCTATTCGCGAATCTCGTAAAATGTTTTGCTTGTGCATCGTGTGTCCTAGTACAACATTGTAGATGACGAATGGGCTGAACTTTCGGCTGAAACTACGCGTGGACAAAAATTCACTCGTGTGTCCTCTTGACAATGCACTAGGTAGTTGCGAATCTAGGCGACGGTCGTAGCACATTTCGTGCGCACGAACGACTTCGGAAAAAAGGTTACGGTGTCGCCAAAAACGCGTCAAAAACAGGGTAACCTACGTAGGTTAACAGCGAATCCGGAAAGTTCAACTTCGATTGTTGAACTTTCGCTTGTCTTTTGGTTCTTGTGGGTTGAGGAGCAGCGACTCGGGCTACAGCAACCAATATTGTTGAGCCTAAGTCGACCTAGGTTCAACTGCGTAAGTTCAACTCAAAACTCGAGTTTTGCAGAGTTTTTACAAAAGACACGCGCCCTTATACTTCGAGCCGCTCCGTTCCAACTTCTAGTAGTGAAGTTCAATCTGACATAATCCGACCCAGACCCACAGCCTTTTGATATCCCTTCCTCGCCGTCCCTTCAGTAGATCCGTCTCGCTAAGGATCGAGTAGTATCTGGCCGTTCCGCTTCTTGTTATTGTGTTTCTTACCTTAATTCGGGCGCCATGAAGGCACTCACCGCGACTCTGCCGTGTTTAACGAGGTGCACTATAACGAGCCGAAGTTTGTCAAGAAGCGCAGAAATTGACTTGTTGGATCTGTATCCGCAGCTCGTGTCGCGATTCTCGTCAATCTCGAGGAGCTACGTTGCGTCGAGCCGCGGTGCTGACACCGAAGGAGCAGCATCACCTGACAGTGTAACGTCCGCGGGGAGAAAGGTCGGCGCGGGAGGCGCGGATCCGAACAAAGGAGGGCGCGAGGCCGCGTCGCGGAGCAACCCCATGGCGGCGCGGCTTCGCAGCCGTGGCGTGATCCGATTCGACGGTCGAGATGCGATTAATTTCCTGCAGGGCCTGCTGACCAATGACGTCATCCCGTTTCTCCAGCAACCCCCACCCGTGCCCTCCGCCGTCCCCACGCCGAATCAGCCCGCCAGCGTGCATCCGCCGATTTACTCCGCGCTACTCTCCCCGCAAGGCCGGTTTCTCTTTGACCTTTTCCTCTACCGCCCGCCACACGCGGTAAGCCATCCGGTGGTCGCATCCCCCCTTTCCCGCCGCGCCCCCCCACCCCTCCTCCGCGCACCCCCTTCCATCACCTCCGTCCTTCCACCTTCATGTATGGAAACTAGCACTCTTTTTTCCTCCACCCCAGTCACCTGAAACGCTTTATGGGGCGTCTTAAAAGGTGCAGATTCTGGTCTGTATGACGTTTTCCTGTACCGACCTCCTTATATGAAACGAAGCACTCTCCCTTCATTCGTCCCAGACTCACCCCTCGAACGAATTCATCGCTTTTTCTTCCCAGGATGCAGTATCTTTCGTCTGGGCTACCTCTGACGCTGGCCCGTGCATAATTGGACACGAACACGTGCGTTACCACGTGGAAATACCCCACGCTAATTTGTTTATCTGCAGGATGCAGTGTCGAGTCTCCTGGATCCCACTGGAGCTGGTCCAGATACGGCGGACCCAGACGCACCTGAGCTGCTGGCGGATGTAGATGCAGCGAACCTGGACGACCTGCTGGCTCACCTCAAGAAGTGAGAAACTTTTTTGTGTGTTCTTTTTCCAGTCGTCTTTTTTTTTGTTTGCTTATAATTTTCATACCGTGATCATTAGTGTACTCTTAATTGGTTTTCTCAACCCAGTTTCCATGCTCTCCCTGAATTTGCTCTTCTTTGCCATCCCCAACGCTTCTCCACAGGCACAAGCTCCGTGCCAACGTGTCATTTGCTGACGTGTCATCCGACGTGGCAGTGTGGGCGCACTTCCACTCGCGCCTCTCCTCCGACCCGGCACTCCCAGACGAGGCAGCAGCAGGGGAGGGGTTGGGGTGGGGCGGCCGAGTGGATCAGCTGGGAGAGCTGACATCTGAGGCAACAAGGGAGGGGTGGCGATGGCATCGCGATCCGAGACTCCCGGGACTGGGGCTGAGGGGGCTCTTCCCTGCCAGTGAAATCCGTAAGTTGCCCTTGAAGTGGCTGGTAAGGAGTGGGGTGGGGCGGCCGAGTGGATCAACTGGGAGAGCTTACAGTCGAGGCGACGAGAGAAGGATGGCGCTGGCATCGCGATCCGAGATTGCCTGGCCTGGGACTGAGAGGGCTGTTTCCCGCCAGTGAAATTCGTAAGTTTTCCACTGCAAATGGGTGGAGGGGGGCGGCCGGGTGGATCAGCTGGGAGAGTTGACAGCTGATGCCACAAGAGAAGGATGGCGGTGGCATCGCGATCCGAGATTGCCTGGCCTGGGGCTGAGAGGGCTCTTCCCCGCTAGGGAAATCCGTGAGTTGTCCACTGTGGTTGGTTGCAGTGGGGTGCGGTGGGATGGCGCTGGCATTGCGACCCCAGGCTGCCTGCCTGGCCTGGGGCTGAGAGGGCTCTTTCCTGCCAGTGAAATCCGTGAGTTGACTATGAAGAAACAGGGGTGGGGTGGGATGGGGCGGGCGGGCGGATCAGCTGGGAGAGCTGACAGCAGAGGCGACCAGGGAGGGGTGGCGGTGGCATCGGGACCGCAGCCTGCCTGGATTGTGGCTGAGGGGGCTGTTTCTGCTAGTAAAATCCGTAAGTGACTGATTAACTGGAAGTGGGGAAGGGGGTGTGGTTGCAGAGGCGTGGTGACAACTAGGTAGAGGGATACTTTACAAATTGTTCGCTCTTAGTTGCTGGGAAGTTCTAATCTTGCTATTTGCGGCCGTCAAATTTGGTTTCTTCTCTTTCTTTGTGTTTCTTCCTTTCTTTCCATATGTCGTCTCCCTCCGCCTCCCCCTCCGCCTATCCCTCCGCCTCTCCCTCCGTGGGCAAGGAATTCAGAGCAGTTTAGTGCGACTCCTAATGGTAATCTCGTTTGCCCTTCCCTTCCCTCCTCACTTCTCTTTCCACCAGCCCCATTGGTGGATGCACAGGTGGAAGAGGGGGAGGACAGCTACAGGATGTTCCGGTTTTCAATGGGAGTGGCGGAGGGGTGTGAAGAGATGCCCAGAGGTATGCAGAGCGGTGCAGAGAGATGCTGAGTACATATGTATCACACCTTCGAGATGCTTGTGTTTGTGTAGTCAATGTTTTAATTCACGCAATGATAAGGCTTATTAAGGCCTGGACTAGTCATGATACGTTTGTTCTTCCTCCGTTCCCTTCTTGGCCCTGCCTTTGAGTGCAACCTAGCCGTTTGAGTGCACTCAAAGTCTCATGAAGAGCTGCCTTTGAGTGCAATCTGGTAGCCCTGCACGCTATCAGCTTCACCAAGGGGTGCTACGTGGGGCAGGAGCTCACTGCCAGGACGCACCCACTCACTCCCATCCCCCCCAAACTCTCCTGCTTGGATGTTACTCCTTCCAGCCGACGCCCTTCCACTAGAGTGCAACCTAGCAGCCCTACACGCCATCAGCTTCACCAAGGGGTGCTACGTGGGGCAGGAGCTTACTGCTCGCACGCACCACCTGGCCACAATGCCCTTTCCATAACCCCTTCTCCGCTTGACATGCATGGTCAGGTGAAGCCTTGCCTCTAGAATGCAACTTTGCGGCCCTGCATGCCATCAGCTTCACCAAGGGGTGCCACGTGGGGCAGGAGCTCACTGCGAGAACCCACTCACTCTCTACCGTTTGCCCCCAATCCCCTGCTTGTATGTTGCTCCCTCAGGTGTGGCATTACCCCTGGAGTGCAACCTAGCAACTCCCAAAGCCATCAGCTTCACCAAGGGGTGCTACCTGGGGCAGGTGCTCACTGCTAGAGCCCACTCACTCCCTCCCTCACATTGCCTCCAACCCCCCCTGCTTGTATGTTACTCCTTCCAGGTGAGGCACTACCACTAGAGTGCAACTTAGCAGCCCTGCACGCCATCAGTTTCACCAAGGGCTGCTATGTGGGGCAGGAGCTCACTGCTCGCACTCACCCACTCACGCCCAAGCTCCCCTCCCTCCCTCCTTCCATGTTATTGTTACCAGGTGAAGCCCTTCCCTTGGAGTGCAATCTAGCAGCTCTCCATGCCATCAGTTTCACCAAGGGCTGTTACGTGGGGCAGGAGCTCACTGCGAGAACCCACCACAGGGGTGTGGTGCGCAAGCGGCTCATGCCAGTCCGACTCGTGCCGGCCGGGGAAGGAGGGGGGAAAGGGGATGGGGCGGGTGGTGGAGATGGGGGGAGGGAGGGGGGTGGAGAGGAGGATGGGGGCAAGGGGGGAAGTGGGGGAGTAACAGTGGCTCAAGGGGCTGAGATTGTGGAGACAGTTTCTGGGAAGGCTGTTGGGCGAGTGAATGCGGTTCTGTGCGGTTCTGATGGTGATGGTAGTGGTGCTGGAGCTGCTGCTGGTGGTGGTTCGAAGGAGTTGACAGGTTTGGCGCTGCTGCGATTGGCTCATGGCCTCAACCCAGGGTCACAGCTGGCAGTGAAAGCAGAGAATGGGACAGATTTGAAAGTTTTGCCGAGCCGCCCATACTGGTGGCCGAGGGAGTGGGGCAGTGAGGAAAAATAGTGTGAAATGGAGTGAAGTGTGGTCGGTGAGATGGGATTTGCTGAAAGTGGAATATTTTGTAGCCACTCAAAGGCAGGTTCATTGTACCATTCTATAGTTGATGAGCATATATCATGTACAGTTTGTACTCTTGGTGGTTTCTTCCCAATAATGCCTACCGGTTTAAACGAAACCCTTGAGCAATCTCCTTGCTCTTGTGTGCTTGCCTTTTTTGGTTGTTGGGAATAATTTGTTCTCGTTCTCTATTACCATATCCCAAATTGGTTGCAAGACCCCCAAGATATGATTTGGTGCATGCACTGAAAGGGTGACAAACTAAAATAGGCATAGCAGTAAGTGCTTACAATGTACTCGGTATTGTTATGTTTATCGAGGGTTCAAGTTTGACGATACTGTACTTTTCCAGCCACCACACAACAGAGGTTGCGTGTGAAGTTCTAGCCAATAGAAGGGCAGTCTTCTGGCCGCGTGTCCAAGATCTGAGGCTACGATGTGGCTACCTCGACTGTACGTAAGTGACACGCCATCGTCAATACGGATGGCACCGTCACGTCACCCGTCCCTTCGGAAATTCGCTGCCCGGAAGCATTTGGGCGATTTCCAGCATCTTCCTTTCTGGGCAGAGCATCTCCCGCCATGAGCCATGTGCTGACCAACAAAAACGGCCCGGTAAGTGTGAGTGGCAGGACAACCAAGCAAAACGGAATCATCCAAACTCAACTCGAATCTTCCAAATACACAACGTTCATCCGTCAGATCCCACATCTCTACCTTCCAGACGGATGTAGAACCGTCGGATCGCCGACGGTTGGCTATTTTTTGCCTCGTGAAAATTCTCTAACGGGAAACTCGATTAAGAAATTTTGCTGACTTGGAGGTGCGGTGTAGGTGCGAAAAGGGAGTGCGCTGCGTCTCCATAGTCGTGCGCGGCGCGGATGCCAAAGAGCCCAATCACCTCAAATTTGTATATCTGCTCTGTACTGCTCGATCCACTGTGGTGCCCAATTCCCTCCCTTGCTCGCACAACCACCACGAACTACCTCTGCGCTCCTGCTCCTATTAGATGAAATTGGGACCACGGCAGCAGATGCGAGATTCCAATTTCATGCTCTAGTGCGCATTTTTTCTGTTATTTTGAATTTGACAGCAGGGCGCAAGTTGTCGGCAGCAGCCGTACCCTCCTCTCCAGGTCCAGGCCACACACCACACTTCGCTCGGCCAGTAACTGAGGGCGACGTGTGAGGCTGCCTTGACCTTCCACCACCGCTAGGGAGGACTTATTCGTCTGCGGGGTCGAGACTGATTGGTTGGTTGTAATCCTCGTGGCGAGGCAGACTGGAAAGTCGAACAGCAGCATCAACACGCCAATGATTCGCGTTACGTAGATGCGGATAATAGTCACTATGGCCTAGTGCGCCGCATCTCGCGTTCTGCACGCTTTCTCTCCAGCGTCTGACACGTCACCCAGTGGCGAGCCGAAAGCAGTCCGCTCAACGTGTGTCCCTTCAAGCCGCGCTTTTTTTATAAGACCCAGCCATACGTCATTAGAACAGCCGCGATTAGCCAGACACTCTTATCTTCAGCTTCGAACAGTCGATTCTACAAATCTCTTTCGTAAAGGCCATCCACAGCTTTACTACTACCCCGGCAGTGCTCTTCATTCACCACGAATCCTGCACTTCCTTCTCGGCCAGCGTTTTTCACACATTTCGCGGTCTCAGACCAGGCAATCCTACCAGGCGCCATGCCGGGCCTGCTCAGCATTCTATCGTCCCAAAGCTCCTCGCGCTTCGCCCACGTTTTCAGCAAGGAGACGCCGGCTCGTGTGTCCACCGCAGAAACTGCCTCTGTTTATGTCCCCGCAAATTTAGGCCTTGTGTTAGGCCCCACGGGCCCTTCTTTCCAGCAGAACGTTCCTTCGGCGCCGCATTTACAGCAGCATTTTTATCAACCTCCGCAAACGGCGGTCGCGCAACAGTCGATATCTCGCGGGAGCGATTTTCCGCTCATCTCTGCAAATCCCGCCGGCCGTTGCGGACTGCATCTAATTAGCGGCGACGCGTTCGACATCCAGCCGCAAGACTCGCCGATCACGCCCCTATCAGCAGCTGACGTGTCAATCCCCTCTTCGATTCACCTCGAGGATCTGATTTCCGAGTATCTCGAAGGAGGCGATGAGGATCGCGACGCGCTCGACGGCTTGATGCGGATACCAGGGTTCCAGGGAGTACCAGCATCGGCTACCATACGCGCCGCGCATCATCCAGCGCAGCCGAATCTGAATCGACGGCTGTCAGCGGATTATCTGGACAGGCAGGCGCAAGTCGCGGAGCAAAATCAGCTCAGGTTGATTCAGGTACGTTACCGCCTCTCGCCTTGGCCATCCGCAAGCATTTGCTCATTTGTCGCTGCGCGTTTATGCCCTTTCTCTCCCTTTGTGGTATTTTCCACATTGCTTGGTTTCTCGTGATGACAATAATAATGTCCGTTTCCTCTCGCCTTCTCACTTGGTTGTTCTTCTCCGCAGTCGCTGGCAGCCATGGAGGGCCCCGTCGAGCGCGCTCTCTACGCTGACGTCATCGCCGCGATGACCGACGCACGCGCGCGCCACGCCGCGAACGGCGCTGCGAACTCGTCGTGCGACGACGACGTCCAGTCGCAGGAGCTGCGAGGGAGCAGCCTGAACGCGGCGGTCGCAGGGCGACTGCGTGCGATGGGGTACGACGCGGCGGTTTGCACGACGCAGTGGGACACCTCTCCCGCCATTCCCGAGGGTAAGCAGCTCCTTGCGCCTAGGGAAACGTGCGGAGTGGTGTGGTGCGCAGTGGAACACCTCTCCCGCCATTCCCGAGGGTAATCATTTACTCTCTCCCTGCTCTGAATCACCCCAGTGACCAGATTTCGTGAGATGCCTTTTTCCCGACTTTTCTATTATTTTCCCTCATGCATTGCCCGTTCAAACTCTTTCGCATTCGTAGAGGTTCCTCATCCTTCACACTGGTTACCGTAATACTAACTTTTCGCCTCTGTCGTCTGTCGCTCCTGCAGGATCATACGAGTACATCGACGTCCTTGCCTCCGCGGACCCGCTAGCTCCTTCACACGCGGCATCAGCCACCCCTTGTTACGCCCTCTTTAGTTCCACCTTCCCCAGCACAGCTTCCCCTCCGATGCCCACCTTCACCCGAACCACCTCCCCGACCACCGCCAATCCCGCCTCTCTTTTCCCCAGCGCCTCCTCCGTTTCGGCCAACGGCGCTTCCGTTGCCCCCGCTTCCTCCGCTCCCGCTTCCGCCTCTCCCGCTTCCGCCGCCCCCCAGCGCTTCATCATAGACGTCGATTTCCGCGCGCAGTTCCAGATCGCACGGCCCACGCGGGAGTACGCGGCGGCGCTCGAATCCACGCCGTTGATCTTCGTGGGGCGCGCGGAGCGGCTGGCGCGGCTGGTGGAGGTGGTATCTGGCGCGATGCGCGGGGCTTTAAGGGCGCAGGGCATGCACGTCCCGCCGTGGCGCAAGTGGGATTATCTGCACGCTAAGTGGATGGCTGCAGTCAGTCGGAGAGTGGTCTGCGAGTCGCCTGAAAAGGGGGTGGAGGCGATGGGAGTGGAGGCGATGGGAGTGGAGGCGATGGGAGTGGAGGCGATGGGAGTGGAGGCGATGGGAGTGGAGGGTAAGGGTGTGGTGGAGAAAAAGGATATGACGGTAGCGGATGGTGGTGGCTACGGCAAGGGAGGAGCAATGACGGGCGATCGGGACGCTTCAACCCTCCCTGTCGTCACCTCTCCTGCTACCGCTGACTGTTCTCTTGATGTCTCGGCTGCTGCTCTTACTGCTAGCCCATTTGCCGCTCGTGCCGCACCACCTGCTGCCACTGCTGCTCCAGCTGGAAGCTTCCGCGCATCTGCCATTTCTAATGCGATCGCAGCTGCTGCTGCTGCTGCTGCACACACATCATGCCAGCAGCAGAACCGGCACCTACAATCCGCGACTGGTGTGGGTACTGGTTTCTTCCACGCCCGCGCTGTTCCTGCCAGGCGGTTCTCTGCCCTTCAGCAGTGCGCTAGAGCGGGGGGGCGGTGAGAATACAGGCACTCCCAGGACGCCAGCGCTTCCTGTGAATCGCCACGTACGGTTCACGACTGGTGTGGGTACTGGTTTCTTCCACGCCCGCGCTGTTCCTGCCAGGCGGTTCTCTGCCCTTCAGCAGTGCGCCCGAGCAGGGGGGCGGTGAGAATACAGCAGAATCGCCACTCCCAACAGCATGCTCATAGTGTGATTAAGTTCTGTGCGCGTGATTAGACTTCAGGGGCGGCTCATCCCCCCAGTGATTAGCTGTTTCAGCAGCAGCAGTGGGATGAGACAGCCACAGGGCAGCAGGTGCCCTCACCCATTGATGTGGGAGGTGCACACTTTCAATTGGTGTGTGGGGTGGGGAGGGGAGCCACCCTATGCGCGTGTGCCCTCTCATGGCAAGCCAGCTGAAGGTTTCGCTGCGCTGCCGCAATTTTGACCCCAGCTTCTGGTTTACCCACCAGAGCTGCCTATTTTGATAGGTACGATAGTGTTTCCACTTGATTTTGATGTTTTGTTGTTTCCTAGGATTTTATTGCCACTAGTGTATGTCAAACTATATGTGCTGCATATTGTCTAGGCTGTAGTGGGGTAGCCCATATGGGGTACAACCCAATTAGGGTTTACTACTTGTACTCCTGCATCCTGTTAGTTCATCCATTCCTGCTGCTAGATTCTGACATGGTTTCAGAGCACTAAGGTCCGTAGGACCGTTTTTTTTTTTTCGGGCCCACCTACCGCTGCGGTTACCGCGCTACCCCACGTACCTGCCTGCCTTGCCTTGCCTTGTGACGTGCTGCACTATGCGCGCCGTCCAGCAGCCCTAGCGCTGCCTCCTGCTGCCCTAGGCCAGCGCGCTGCCCCTAGAGGCCCGTAAGGCCCACGCGCCGCCCCTAGAGGCCCGTAAGGCCCGCGCGCCGCCCCTAGAGGCCCGTAAGGCCCGCGCGCCGCCCCTACACGCCCGTCAGGCCCGCAAACAACCCCTGCAGACCGCGCAGCCCGCTGCAGCCGCGCGCAGCCCGCACAGAGCCCACGCAGCCCGCGCCGAGCCGCGCGCAGCCCGCTGCAGCCGCGCGCAGCCCGCACCGAGCCGCGCGCAGCCCGCTGCAGCCGCGCGCAGCCCGCAGCTGCCGCGCGCAGCCCGCGCCGAGCCCACGCAGCCCGCGTCGAGCCGCGCGCGGCCTGCTACGGCCTCGCGAGGCCCGCGCGCGGCCCGCAGCAGCCCGCGCCGAGCCGCGCGCGGCCTGCTACTGCCTCGCGCGGCCCGCGCGCGGCCCTCTGCCTATTACGGCCCCGCCCTGCAGCTGCCACGGCCCCGACCTGCCGCTGATGCGGCCCCGCCCTGCAGCTACCACGGCCCCGACCTGCCGCTGATGCGGCCCCGCCCTGCAGCTGCCACGGCCCCGACCTGCCGCTGACGCGGCCCCACCCTGCTACTGCCGCTGAAGCGGCACCGCACTGCAGCTGCTTCGGCCCTGCTCTGCAGCCGGTGTTGCGGCCCCGACGCCGCCGCTGTCGTGCGCCTACTCGGCCGCCGCCCGTTGAGCGCCGGCCCTGCTCGCCCGGTGAGCGCCTGCTCTCCCAGCCTTTGGTGAGCGCCTGCCTGCCTGCCTGACGGCCTGCCTGTCTGCCTGCCTGCCTGCCGGCCTGCCTGCCTGCCTGCCTGCCTGCCTGCGCGCCTGCCTGCCTGCCTGCCGGCCTGCCTGCCTGCCTGCCGGCCTGCCTGTCTGTCTGCCTGCCTGCCTGCCTGCCTGCCTGTCTGCCTGCCTGCCTGCCTGCCTGCCTGCCTGCCTGCCTGCCTGCCTGCCGGCCTGCCTGCTTGCCTGCCTGCCCTGCCCGCGCTACTGCTGCTGCTACTGCTACTGGCAGGTGGCCAGATGCAGCTCCAGCGACGTTCACGCGAGCCTCTCACGCCCCAGCAGCTTAGTGAGTGGTATACTAGCTGGGGTTGTCGCAGTAGCCGTCGTAGCTGTCGCCCTGGAGCTGGTCAGTTGGGAGCGTCCGGCAGTGGCCAGCTGCAGCTGCAGGGGCGTCCACGTGAGACACTTACGCCCCGGCAGCTCCAGGAGTGGTACGCTCAGTGTAGCAGGTCTACGCGTACAGTTCGCTGCCCGTACGTCATTCGCACAGGTGCTAGGACTGGTCAGCCTTGTGGGACGCTTGGTCACACACAGTCCCGCTGCTTCGCCCGTCTGAGCGACGACTGGCGCACAGTGTTTGGCGACGAGGCTGAGCTCCCCACCTGGCTGGAGCTGCATGGACAGAGGGTAGATATCTTTGCGCTTGACTATGATGCTATTCTCACTGCCATGTATGCATTGCCTACTAGTGCTGACCGTGCCTGTTACCTGTGCGTACCGCCTGACCCTGGTGAGGCTGCTGCTCTAGGTGCTAGTGCGTCTCCTGCTCTAGGTGCTGGTGAGGCTGCTGCTCTCGGTGCTAGTACGTCTACTGCTCTAGGTACTGGTGAGGCCGTGGCTTCAGGTGCTGGTGAGTCTGCTCTCTCTGGTACTGCGCCCACTGCGGTCTCGCACACCTTCACCCTTGACTCAGGAGCTTCCCGCTCCTTCTTTCGCGACTGCACCACACTCACGCCGCTTAGTCGGCCAGTTCCAGTCTCCCTGGCGGACCCCTCCGGGGGTCCAGTCCTTGCCCACCACTCCACGGTTCTGCCGTGTCCGGCCGCCCCGTCCGGCTCGCTGTCAGGTCTTTACCTCCCCTCGTTCTCTACGAACTTGGTGAGTGGAGCTGACCTCCAGGATGGGGGGGTTCACCAGTTCACTCCTGCGAGTCAGCGAGTGACTCACTGTACGTGTGCTCGGACGGGCCGACACCTGGCCACGTTTACCCGTGCGCCTGGCTCGAGTCTGTACACACTCACCACTGAGTCCCCTCAGGTAGCTGCGTCTGCGTCTGTGTCTGGTCAGCTGGCGGCCCCCTGCGAGTGTCGCGCTTTGTCGCACGACACTCTCCTGTGGCACCACCACCTTGGTCACCCCTCCTTGCCTCGCCTGCGTAGCATGCACTCTCGCTCCCTGGTCTCTGGTCTTCCCAGGTCTCTGCCTGCCCTCCCTCCCTCGCCTGCGCCGCCCTGCATTCCTTGCGTCGAGGGGCGGCAGCGCGCCGCTCCTCACTCCTCCTCGTTTCCTCCCACAGAGGCTCCACTGCAGACGCTCCACCTGCAGAGGCCCAGCCCGCGTCCAGGGACAGGGCCGCGAGCGGTACTTCCTGCTGGTCGTCGACGACTACACGCGTTACACCACGGTCTTCCCCTTGCAGAGCAAGGGGGACGTCCCTGATGTTTTGATCCCTTGGATCCGCGCTGTTCGTCTCCAGCTCCGCGAGCGGTTCCGGCGGGACTTTCCTGTCCTGCGTCTGCACTCTGACAGAGGTGGTGAGTTCTCCTCTGACCTCTTGGCAGCCTACTGTGCGGAGCACGGCATCGCCCAGTCGTTCACGCTTTCGGCCTCTCCACAGCAGAATGGGGTTGCTGAGCGCCGCATTGGCTTAGTCATGGAGGTCGCTCGTACCTCCATGATCCATGCGGCTGCCTACCATTTCCTGTGGCTGTTTGCGGTCCGGTACGCCGCGCATCAGCTCAACCTCTGGCCCCGTGTCTCCTTGCCGAAGACCTCGCCCACACTGCTGTGGACGGGGAAGGTTGGCGATGCGTCGCGTTTCCGGGTCTGGGGTGCTCGTGCCTTTGTCCGCGATACCACCGCGGACAAGCTCTCCGCCCGCGCTGTTCCCTGTGTCTTCCTTGGCTTTGTCCCTGACGCGCCTGGTTTGCAGTTTTACCACCCCACCTCGCGCCGTGTCTTTGTGTCTCAGGACGTCACGTTCGACGAGTCGGTTCCCTTTTACCGTCTCTTCCCCTACCGCACTGCCCCTCTCCCTCCCCCGCCGCTCTTCCTCGCTCCAGGTGCTCCCCAGGTAGACCCCCTCCCCGCTCCCGGTCCTGCTCCTTCAGGTGTTTCTCAGGTAGACCCTCCTCCCTTGACTGCGCCGGTTGAGGTCACTGGTGACTCAGGTCCTACTGAGGGTGGTCCTGCTCGGGGTGCTGTCTCTGGGGGTGCTGAGCCTGGGGGTGCGGAGCCTGGGGGTGCTGAGCCTGGGGGTACTGAGCCTGAGGGTGCGGAGCTTGAGGGTGTGGAGCCTGGTGGTGCTGAGCCTGAGTGTGAGGGGTCTGGGGGTGCTGAGCTTGGCGGTACTGACGCTGGAGGTTCTGGAGCTACTGAGGGTGCTGGCGCTGGAGGTTCGGGAGCTGTTGGAGGGCCTAGTACTGGTGGCGCTGGAGCTGGAGGTTCTGGAGCTGCTGAGGGTGCTCGCGCTGGTCGGACTACTATTCTATTTTCTAGAGCTTTCCGATTATTTCACTTATTTGGTATTTTCGGCACCGACATTTACATTATACGGCACCGAAAGCACCAACAGTGGTGTACAAGGCGTAATCTCGCCATAATCCGAAGTGCCAATGGGCTTGCGTGCTTATGCGCACTTGTGATATCTATTCTAGAAGAGCGCGTTCCCGAAGGTTCGGATTATCTGTTGTTTCTATGTATTTCTAAGTATAAATACGCCTTGTACTCACCTTTAGTGAAAGATTCTCGAGTGGAAATTCGATCCTGTGACACTTGGTATTCAGAGCCGTTTTCACTCGCGGAGTTTCAGCTAAGCAGCGCGCTCAAGAAAATCCTGCTTCGAAAAACCGCCGGGGGCGAAGAATTCGGCGCCGACGCTGGTAAGCACCAGACTCCGCTCTTTTTTGAATGACCTCCCTCGCGCGTTTTTTGAACAGGTCCGAAAGTTCAGTTTTCTGGCTACGACTTGGCGATATAGTGACGACAATCGCGAATTGTCAGGACCTATATCGAGCGGTGCAGAAACAGCAATACCGACGCGCGACGGATCTAACGACTTCGGGTGAAAGCGCGCGTCATGGCGAAAATTGCGACAGCATCAGAATCGATCGTGACTTCGCAGCGGTCGCGAAAATTTCCCATGGCCCAAAAAATTCGACGGGGAAATCGACGTGCGCAGGTGGTTGGCGGAAATCGAAATATATTTCGTAGCCGTCGGTTGGACATCCCCGACATACGACGGTTCGCGAATTAAATTTGCAGCAACACTTCTGCGCGGACCAGTAATTGATTGGATAAGCGGAAGCGGATTTTTAAACCAAGGCGAAGCGACGTTTCAGCACTTCCGAGAGGGATTACTACAACGTT